CTCCCGCTTCATCCGCCTAGCCACGGACTCCGCGAAATATTGGGGGGTTGCCGTCTGGCTCAGCAAGCTTGAGGGAGTGATCAAAGTTGGAGGCAGTCCTGTTCAAGTCCGGGAGCCTGACCTACATGTATGCTATGAGTCGCCGAGGTTGCTCATCATCTCGGTTACCATTGGCAATGTGAAGATCATTATCTTTTCGGCACACTGCCCCCACAGCGGCCAGAGGGAGGAAGCAAGGAGCTTCCTTCAGCATCTCCGGCGAGAACTCCGGCCCCACAGCAGCACTGCCCTCATCATCGGCGGCATTGACCTCAATGGACGTATGACAGTCGAGGTCTCTGGGGTAACCGGTGACCTGCAGTACGGAGACCAAGATGAAACGGGCGCTGAGGCAGCTGACCTTTGTAAGGATCTTGGACTATGGGTGCCTACTACCTACAGCAGATACCACCGAGGACAGTCAGCCACTTTTCGCCACCCCCAGGGCACGGAGCACCGCATTGACTACCTCTGGCAGGGAGGAGCTGCTGCGGTGCACGAAGCCAGTAGCAGAATCCTGACAGGCTTCGACTCGGGCAGTGCAGGTGACGACCACTGGCCAGTCTTGGCAATCTTCCGGGGCATCCTTCAGCCCATCAAGGACATTGTCCGCCTATGGAGGCCCAGATATGACACCAGAAAGATGCTGACTAAACAAGGAAAGGAGACCATCACAGAAGCAATGCTCTCGTACATGCCTCCACAATGGTCAACCCACCCCGATGACCATTGTCAGCATCTCACTGAGTTTCTCCATGGCATCATGCGGCGTCACTTCACAAAGGCCCTAGACGGCCCACGAGCTTCCTACATCCCAAACATAGTCTGGGAAAAGAGGCAGAAAAAGATCACCTTCAAGGCAAGGGTGAGATACAGAGCTAGTCTCTGGAAGGACCTCCTCCTTCGTGCTTTCTTACAATGGGGGGAACACAAGGACTATGGCTTCGCTGACCTTGTTGCAAAACAAGGTATGCTTTACCAGATTGCGGCCTTCGCCATCAAGTTTGTCACAAGGGACATCAAAACAGGCGTCCGCAAAGCCAAGGAAGATTTTCTTCGATGCATCGCCTCCGATGGTGGTGGCACAGCAGCCGATGTCCTCAGCCGTATTAAGTCGGCAGGGGTTGGTGGATCCATGGCTCGTCAACCCTTCAAGCCGCTGCCTCTGCTGTATGCAGAAGAAGGCCAACCAGCTACATCCTGCAGAGACCGTGACTCCTTGTGGCTCCACCACTTTGGGCAGCAAGAGCTCGGCACGGTCCTAAAGACAGCCGACTTCTTGGCCGAGCCCTTCCACCCGATCTACGTTGATGAGGAGATCAACTGGAGCACAGAGGTGCTACCTAGTCTTGGAGACGTCGAGCAAACTCTGAGGTCCCTGACCTCAAGGAAGGCACCGGGGCTTGATGCCATCCCCTCGGAGCTCCTAAAAGCTGCACCAGGGCCGACTGCAGCTGCAGTCCACAGCCTCTTCCTCAAGTCCATGCTCACCCTCCGCCAGCCTCTTCAGTGGAATGGGGGTATACTCTTTGAATGCTGGAAGAGATCTGGATCACAATCTGACCCGGCCATGTACAGGTCGTTGTATGTCAGCTCCATGCTGGGCAAAACCTACCATAAGCTGCTGCGAAACAAAGTCCAGCCTGAGGTTGATGCTGGACTGCACAGCTTCCATTTGGGAGCCCGGCGAGGCACGCCTGTCAGCATGCCCTCCCTCTACATCCTGGCACACATTCGCAAATGTGCCAGGAGAGGGATCTCTTCATCGATCCTTTTTCTCGATACACACGCTGCTTATTATAGGATCATTCGCCAGCTTGCACTGGGGCATCTCCACAACGACACTGAAGTTCTCCAGGTCTTCAAGCGTTTCAGCCTCGAGCCCTCCGACGTCCACGA